GGTGTGTGTGAGTGTATATTGTTTTACCGCTGTCATTATAATTGTTGTTTGTGTTGTTGTTGTTGTTGTTGTTGCCGCTGTTGTCATTATTGGGGCGCACGTTCAATTGTTTCTGACAATTAATAAATTTTGCGCATAATTAATTTATGCGCTGCCTTTAAGCAAACAATGGCCACCCAAATCGCTGTTTGTCAACGTTTTTGTCTATGTTACTAATAAATTTACTAGTTAGCCAAACTGTAATTAAATCGCATTATTACATATTTGTGTGCTGTTCACAGCAGACAGCCAAAAATTAAAATTAAAAAACACACACACACACAACGACAGCAACAATAATAAACAAAATGAATTTTAATTATTAAATATGCAATTGCACTGCAATTGAATTGCATACGAAATTAGCGCATCAAAAACCAATCTATGGATTATTTATTTAAATAAACTAACGAGAAAATTTGTCAGTTTTTTTTTCCTGTCGTTGAATAGATTCTAGCAGAATTTTAAATACTCTAGTCCTTAAAGAGCTTGTACTTAAAGCGACTGTCAAATATGTCTGGCATATCCTTGGCAACTTAACTTTGAAATTTTTGTTTAACATTTGTATTGGAATTGCTGGCGCACACACCTGCCGCCTACCCGGCCGCTGTATACCGCCCGCCCACAAGCTACACAAATGGAACCCATTTCAAATAACTCTCGCCTTCTGGCTTTCGGGCATTTTTAAATACAGCAACATGGCAAACAAAATGCCTGCGTATAGCACTTGGGATCTGTAACGGTTCTATGGCCGGGCCGGGACAAGGCAGAGGTTTTTGCAATGCGTTAACATCTTCCACATACACACACACACACACACACAGGCAACAAGCATTACACCGCCCACACACACACACACACACACACACACACACACACACACACACACACATACATGCACAGAAACGTTCGCCTTTATGCTTTTTTATGAGGCTGAAATATGAGACGCGTGTTTTTTGTGTGTTTATGTGTGTTAACGGCTTTGCGTGTTGCTGTGCGTATGTGTGTTAGTGTGTGTATGCGTTGGCATGTAGTTTGTATTTAGTAAAAGGATTTTCAACGCCGTGCGCGGTTACTCGTATTTTTCTATGCAAACACAGACGCGCGCTGTAGCACGAACACGTATTTTGTATAACGGTATTTATGACATGTTTACTCAATAACAAAACACTTGAGCTTCTAACCCAAATACCCATAAACAAGTAAGCCACATACACACACACACACACACACACACACACACACAGATCCCTTATTCACAGCACAGTTTTGTTTCACGTTCAGCTGCGACTCGCGCGCTTTTTTCATGCCGCGTGTTTTGCCGCAATTTAAACACAAAATAATTTTGTTAAAATTCTACAAGTTAGCGAATGCGTGCCTTAATTTGTTGGCCAGGCCTACACAATTACACATTTTTATGTGTGTGTGTGTGTGTGTGTGTGTGTGAGAATCCATTGAGCTTATCCTTTGTCTCTGCCGTTTTGTTTCAACTGGAGCTGTTTCTTAGAAAAACTTGACAGCATTCTTTTATATTTTTACATGCTGTCGGTGGTTGGATATATATTAAAATGCTGGAGAGCATACAAAGGCGCGTTCGAGCTGCTTAAAATCAAATGCTCCGTGTACATCGGTAGATGCGTTCTCTAAGGGAGCGCCTCATTCTGACTTATGTCTATATAGGATTAGAATTTTGACCTGGAATGAGGTTTGTCAGATTTAGATGCAGAATTGATATGGAGGCCAAGCCATGAAGAAAAGCCAAGCAAATCTTTTCGAAATTATGCATTTCTTCTCATTTAGAGGAGCAAGTGAGTCTGTATAAAAAAGGCTGCAATTATGGCCAGCCAAACTATTTTAAACAGTCGACAACTGGCAACTATTTACTTTTATGCTGCCGATTTCATTACTTATGTGCTGCGATAATGATTTTTAATCCCCTAATGTGGGTATTGCTAAATACTCAAAGTGTGCTGCAGCCAGTTTGCAATTTGCATGCGAAATTCTCTGTGGAAATTGAACACATTGAAGGCATGGAATACCTGTGCAAAAGTTTTTGCCCAGCTGCATATTTGGCTCTGGTCGCCGAACAGAATTTTGTTAACAAAAATGAATGCGACCTACAACTTTGTGAGTGTGTGTGTGCATGTGTGTGTGCGGAGTGAATACCATAAACAAGAGTCAAATAAATCAACGTCATCATCATCATCATCAGCAGCAGCGGAGCCCACATGAGTGCGTTGTGTGCCAAAGGACGAGGACATCGGCAACTGGCAGCAGGCAGCCGGCAACAAAGTATGAGGACATACGCAAGAGAATCTCCTGCAGGGCAGCCATAAAGCAGCCAGCGAAATATAAATGCAATAAAATATTTTTAATGGCTCGTAAATGTAAAAATTACGCCAAATATAATAATAAAAAAACAAACAAAAACAAAAAATGGTAAAAGAAAAGACCAAAAATAGCCCAAAGAAGGGGTATTCCTACAAAAAAAGAAACGTAAACAAATGAATGGGCTGCAAATTATCGCAACAGTCAAGCAAAATGTCCAGCTGTAAGAATATAAATGTAAATAAATAGCATAAATAAGCATATTTGCACATTTTACGCAGAATTGTGTAAAATTTACGGATTAGCATATTAGTGCCTAAATTAATGGAGGCGCCGCAGGAGACCAAAACTTGCTAATTGAATGCAACTACTAAATGGACCACAACAACAACAACAACAAAAACAAAAACAATGGCAGCAGCAACAACAATGAAATTTAATACAAAACAATTTACATTGAGTTAACACACACACACACACACACACACACACACATTGTTAAGCCAATTACGACAAATGTCAAATTGTCGGACCGAAGCTAACGGAATTAAGGCAACCAAAAAGGAATAAGAAAAGTTTTCTCCCAAATATAACATACCCTTACAAACAAAACACAAGGTATGAAAGTATAATTACATGAAAAGAGAAGGATGTAGGAAAGGTGTAGATTAAAGCGTAAAGCTAGATATAAAAATATTCTTAAATGCATAGCAAGATAGTTTTAAGTATGGTAAATATGGCTTCACATCAGAAATTGTTCAAAAGCAAGTAAAAATATAAACTTTACACGCTGCAAAACTTTACCAACATGACGCGAATCAAGTAGAAATATAATGAACAGTGAGAAAACTGCAGCGAAGATTTAATATGCTGTAGCTTCTCTTAACAAATGTCTTTAAGTTCAGCTATTTCTCTCTTATAAATTGCATTTTTAAATGCCGCTTCTATTTTTGATCTCTCTCTCTTTTTTTTCCTGCAAGTTATGTGTTTTGCCTTCTCTTAGTTAAAGAGAGTAAACAGATTATGCAAAGCGATTATGCCACTTACCGTTCATCTCCGAAGGCGCTTTCGTTGCTGGCAGGCGGCGAATTGTGGTGAAGAAGAACAAGCACAAAAGTGAGCGAGCTCTGTTGGCTGCGCTCTCTTCTTCTTGCTCTTGTTATTCACTCATTTTTGCGTTTCCTTATGCACACACAAAATTGGCACGCATTTCGGAGATCGACGCAACGAAATAACGGATTAACACGCACGAGGTTGAAAAAGAAATGAACAATTGAAAATTAACACGCGTTTTTTGTTAAGCTAACGATAAATATTAAGAAACTGAAACACATTTAAATTTAATAACAATTATGCACTCCATTTGCACTTCACTTGCGCCGACAGCGATTACGAATCAGCATTTCTGGCTGCTCGAAGCACTACTCTGATTCTGTTCTCTATTATGAGACGTTAATATGTTTGTTGCAAGTTAAGCCTTATCACATTAGTTATTCGCACTTAGATTAACAAATAGTTAATAATAATTCACACAATAAAAGGCCGCGGAAAACAAAAAAGAACTGCAATAAAATGCCGGACAGAATTTGCAGCTTCACCGCCGACGTTTGCTGCTGAGTTGCGAAATAAAACTAATTCGGCGAAACCGCAGCGACGCTTGTCTCTCCCTCACGGTTCCATTTAAGCGGCGAATTCGATTTAATGCCGGGAGCGCAATTAATGATCTCCAGAGGGAGCCAGCTTACTTGTGTACTAGGCGAATTAAGCGAATTGGCAAATGGGCTTCCAATTCCATGTGGAGTTAGTTTTCACCGTAAATTCGTATGTCACTTAGTCTGCTGTTCCAACTGCTACTAAGCCAGCGATTAACTATGCACTATGACTGCAATTAAAATCTTGTCATGAGTGCCAATTCTGTAATTAAAGAGCGGGAAAAGAATTGTTAAAAGACTTTGAAATAAAAAAATATCTTCAAAAAAACACAATATGTGTGTATGAATGTACATATGTATGTATGTATGTACGTATTTATGTATGTATGTATGCATGTGTGTGTATATATGTATGTATATATGCATGTATGTATGTCTGTATGTCTGTATGTCTGTATGTCTGAATGCCTGTATGTCTGTATGTATATATGTATGTGTGCTTCAGTAAGTACTTATGTCGGAATATATGTTTGTATGCATTTCGCTTATATTATAGAAATATGTATGTGTCTATGGTTGAAAGCATGCGGGTGTGTATATGCATGTGTTTATGTGACAGTTTATTTGTCTATATGTATATATAAGTTGATATGCATTTGTGTATGTACATATATATGTGTGTCTGTGCGTGCTTGCAAGTCTGACAATATGTATGTAGGTAAATGTTTAATATGTGTGTTTATGCGCATATGACTGTATATATGCAATATTCAGTGTATGTATGTATATGTGCGGGCATGTATGACTGTAAGAATATATGTATGTATTCATGTGTGTGGCACTCTATATACATATGCAAGGCTAGCTGCGCAGCAAATTAAAAAAAAAATACGTATTTTCAACTAATGCTCTACTCCTCGATTCTCATGAATTCAAGTATGCCTTCAGTAAGAACGAGGTAGATTCAGTAGTGAAGGGAGGCGACTGCAGGAGGAGGCGGCGGCCTCAGCAAGAAGGAGACTGCGGCTTCAACCAGAAGGGAACGGCTGGAAGGAGACGCCTGATTCAACGAGGAGGCAACAACTTCATTGATCTGGAGGAAGCGGCTTTTACAATAGAGAAAGAAACAGCGGTTCTAACATGAAGGAGATGCCAGCTTCAGCTAGGTGGAGACTACAATACGAGAGCCAACAGCACCTTAAACCAGGAGGAGGAGACGGCGATGCAGAAAACTCTGGCAGCTGAAAGAGATCACTTGGATGCTCATCTATATTTTTGATCAGGTATGTTACAAGCTTTAAGATTTCAGACATGCATGTTCCTAAACCTATAACGTATCATAGAAAAAAGAGCACACAGAATACTGAGAGAACTGAGAAATATAAAAATATACGTAAAATAAAGTAAAACACTTTTTACATATTTTCAACAATATTCAAGCTCCGATACTCGTATAATATATATTAAATTACGTAAAGTTAGACCTAAATTGATAAATCGATATTAAACTGTAGCCATTTATTGAAACTTAAAAAGATATTGATGTGCATCAAAGATGACTGCACTTAGGGACAACAACTATTACAAATATTATAACAAAGTTATAAAGAGAATTGAACTAACTATATAAACACAGAACAACAACAACAATAACAAGAAATGCTCACACAACAATGCACTTGAACATGTGTGTTTGTGTGTGGGTTTATGTGTTGATAAATTTAAACTGCATTGTTGAAAATCACAGCAATGGCGATAGAGATAATAAACAAAGGAGCGCAGGACTAAGTTGCCGGACCGCAGGATAGGACAGGTCCTGGACACTGGCGCAAATTTGTTTCTGTGGTTGCGCATTTAAATATTTTAAAATATTTATTGTTGAAAATGGCAAAATATTTATAAGCAAAATATGCACAAGATCTCAGACCCAGCCCACTAAGATATAAAATTTATACACATAGATGGGTGTGCTTGTGTGTGTGTGTGTGTGAGTGGGTTGTGTATATTTGGTATTTGTGAAAATAAAGCCCGAGGGCCGAGTAAATGGCATGTCCGTATGCATTTATGCATGCCAAACTGCCAGACAGCCAGTCGGCCAGACAAGCAGGCCGCCGGCAATGGCCACTGGGACACACGACACATTGCATTGACCACACACACACACACACAAACACACAGGCACAGACATACAGATCGACGGACAGACAGACAGGTAGGTGGTCAACAGGATTGAGAGCAACATATGCTGGTCGTGCGTACACTTTATCCATTTTAAATATGCAGATCAGGCAAAGGTTGTGCGACAAGCAAAAGGTTAAGACAAACACGAGCCCAAAATATGCACTGGCCAGCAACAAACTGAAGACAGAAGACAGTAGAAGAGCAAGAGAGACTTAACGAGCGAGTCGAGCACATTGTGTTGGGTCTAAAGACAAAAAACAGCTAATGCCTGCGCTTGTATTTCCTCTATACATCTAAGCCCGTTGAGAGGCAGACACACAGACACACTCCTGCACTCTCATATATATACTAAATAGTGCCTTGGGGCTAAACAAGAAAATTTCCATAGAAAAATTTGCACATTATTAGCATTGGGTTAAATTTTATTTTCATTTTGGTATACTTTTTCCATTCACTATTGGAAAATTGACATGGCCCCGCCCGCTGTTGAGTTGGGCGCAAATCCGTAACAAATCTTTCGAAATTGTTTTACTGACTGCATTGAAATTCATTTGATGGCAAATCTTTTGTGATTCCACTTTCATGGCATGTGTGTGCTCTGTGTGTTAGGCAAACTGTGGCATTTCATTTAATATCAATTGATTTAAATGGACAAATATCTTGGCCAATAATGTTTTAAAAGAGCTGCAGAAATACTTGATTGGAGGCCGCTTGATTGGATGAATGCTATCAATAAATTATTGCCTTGGACTTGACGTGAAAAACATAAGAAACTTTCAAAATAATCTATAAATAAATTTATACCCTGAAGCCATGGAAAATGGGTTGTGCATGTATGTAAAGTATGTCATAAGCAAAAGGAAGCATCTTCGCCCTATTAAGATACATATATTTTTGATCAGCATCAATAGCAGACTCGATCTGTTCGTATATATTATATATAATATTTTGAATGTAGGTCCTCATAGCGCCCACGTAGTCAGCTATCATTTCCGATTATTGATAACTTGTCCCGCTTTCAAGCAATCGATGAAAATCGATATCGAGCCCTTTTTTTTTGAGCAAATCTCTAAGGGAAGCTAGGGTCACCAAATTTTACCTTTAGCTTCTAGAAAAGTAATTGCAGATAACTTATCTTTCATTTTAAAGCCACCACTATCCCCCTTAGCCTGGTTCCATTGAAGTAAATATATCAATTCGATATCGATTGCCTACCTATTTCAATGCTATTGTCTATGATACAAATATTCTATAGCACAATTTCATCAAGATCGGTGAGGAAATGCAGAAGTTATCAAAGAAGTATATAAAATGTGCACACATCACACATCGTTTTCTATCTTGTTAATTTCTGGATAATTTATTCTTATTGTAAGCTATTTGTTTATCATAAACATTATCAATGTTTTTTTTTCTATGTAGTAACATTGTAATAAAACACATTTTATGACTTGGATAGTCTCAGCTAAATGAAACAAAATGCAATCTTAATAAATATTCAAGCAGACAACTCAGGGCTCATAAGTCAACTGTTTGTTATACATATATACGTATATTCTTGAAATCTTGTTTTCTACTCGTACTTTATATATAGTACGATATGTGGAGAATAGTCGCATGGCTATTGCCATTTTCAAGTGGTTTTGCCGCTGACCAAAGCCAATTGCCTTTCGGTGACTAAGATTTATTTGCATTTCCGTTTGAATGCATTTCAGTTTTATTTCTATATATCTGTTGGAGTACTTTGTGTACGTGTGTGTCTCGAACGAGCTGAACACGCACATATAAATGCACACACATACACACACACACACACACACACACACTCACACATAACAAATGCTTTGGATTTGGCAACAAAGTTAACTGCGTATTTGGCAATTTGAACGTGGCCTCCACCAACAGCCACGTCTCACTCTTTAATTCACCTCCTATCTCTTTTCCACCTGCCCTCTTACGCTCTCTCTATTCTGCCTCGTTTTCTCTCCCTTTCTCCATCTCTCTCTCTCTTAAAACTTATAATGGCGCATTTTTTAGCTACAGCTCGAAGCATTTGGCCCTATTAACAAACTCAATTTGTGAACAATTTCGAGCGCTGGTTGGGAACAATGGGACAGTGCACGGTTTAAGGATATGCTTTACGTCTAACGGTTTATCGTCTCTGACCAGTGCAACACGTACCACGTTGCCTCTACCCCACTCCCCTCCCTTTCTGTCCAGCTAGCTGAAGTCGTCCACTGGCCAGGACAAGGGCCCAGGCAAAGGAAATCGCGTTGTAACAACGACGCCGCATGCCATTCTGGCAGACCCTTTACCCAATTCCCGTTGCGACTCTCTCTCTTTCTCAGTCCCTCTCTCTCTCTCTCTCTCTCTCTCTCTCTCTCACTTGCTCCTGTTCGCTGTTCCTATGCAGAGCAGCAATTTAAAAATCGCTTACGGCCACGCCACTGTCATAAAATCAAGCATCATCATCATCAGCAGCAGGAGTAGAAGCACGAGTCGGAATAGCAGGAGCAGCCGTAGAAGCTATAGAAGCTCGAGGAACAGCAGGAACATGAGCAGGAGCAGCTCTTTTTTACCTGCCGCTTCGTGTCTTTTATGCGTTTTGCCATTTTTGGTATCATTTCAGCTTTTGCTACACTACAACCAAAGGGAATGTGGATATATGAGACTAATGCAATTAAGTCATCGGAGTAAAAGCGTGGAGGCCTCAATTTGTAGATTATGTTAAGCATTTTATTCTCTAAAATTAATATAAATTTTATTTTATCGATCTAATCTTAATTCAAGTCCAAAATATCTACTTCTATTTATTGAGACTATAAAGAATTGTCTCAAAAATTCGATACAATTTTCTTTAATCCCAAAAAGTTTTTCCCAACCAAGCATAGAGTATCTCGCAGTCGTTGACCGATGCCTGCAACATTGTTAGTTGCTCTTTTTGTCGTTTTTTTTTTTGTGTCTGCTTTTTGTAGAAAATGTTTAGTACGTGACAGATTTGTTATAATTAACATGATTGACGAGCTTGCGACGCCAAAACTGATAACTATATTTTAGGGTTTTGGACATCCATATAGATCTAGATGGACGAGTTTTTATGCCACTTGTGGCCAGTTGTCAGTCATGATTAGTGGACTGACTGTCGCTTGAATGCATAAATTTCAATGTTTTAACTATACGCTACACAAACACATACACATACACACTAAAACACACTGACACATATGGTTGCATTGCACACGCTTCGATTGAAATCTAAATTGCATTGCATACCAACAGGGGCAGCTACAAACTCAACTGTAAAAATTGCTGCAGTTAAATACTGCACTTGATAACAACTGCAACAACAACAACTACAAATGCGTTACGTGTTAGACGCCAACGCCGTCGCTTTCGGCTAACAAGCAGCACAGAAAGACACAACAACAATGCACAACGAACAAAAACAAACAGGATATGGGCGGGCAAGCACGTTATGTCTGTATAAGTCTGTATATGTGTCTGTCTGTGTGTGTGTGTGTGTGTGATTGTGTTTGCCAAGCACATACATTACGTTGCACTACAGTTTTTGCAACTGTAAAAAGACTACTGACTGCAACAGCAGCAGCAATGCGAACCGCAGCACCAGCAAATGCCAGCAGCAGCAACTAAGAACGACGCTTGAATACCCTAACTTACATAAAAATAACTAAATGAGAGCTTAACACATTTAATTATACCTTTTAAAAAAATGTGTTAAGACAGGGCTTAAGAATGTTAGAAAATAGATTTTGGATGCGCATTACATTTTCGTTTGTGACACGAACGGGCACGATGCCTCACGAATGGTAATATATACAAATTGAACTGCAATCGAAAAACCAGCAAAACCAGCTTTAAAAATTTTAAGCAAAAGGCTCATGTTTATCAGATCTTAAGGCAAGTTCTATTCATAAGTGAGTAGCATTATTAGACTCATGTGAATACGATGCTTTCCAAACAACAAAAACTGTGTTTTCTTTGTCCCGATAATGCGGCACTCAAACATTCGTCTAGAACGCCAATCCATATACTAAACAGCGGCAAGCTGAAGACTAAATACCCTTGTTGGCAGCTATGTAAAGCTCTCATCTATTAAACTTAGTCGGTCAACATAATTGAACAGCTTAGGGATATATTCACAGTTAGAGTATATTAGCTAGGCCACGAATCATTTGGCAAGGCAACTGCCAAAGTGGCTGCTGGCCACGCGTTTATTCAAAAGGATATTACGAGTACTTGCAGCACATTCGACGGTGCTGCCTCGCTGCCGCTGCTGCAGCTGCCGTTGCTGCTGTTGCTGTTGCTGTTGCTGTTCTTGTCATTTACAAGTGCAACAATTGCAACAGCAACAGCAATAACAGCAACAACAATAACCGCAGGCAGCAGGCAGCAGGCATCAGGAGCTGTAACCGCAAAACGGAGATCAGAATTGCATATGCAAAAATGTAACTGAAATTCGTAAAATGCGCCAAACGGGCCACGAAGCTCAACGGAAGAGGGCAAGTGGCAGGACGCGTGGCAGGACGAGGGAGGACAGGCTGGGGCCAAGCAAACGCGCGAGCCCAAGTTCAGCTCCTGGTTATGCGATGGCCAATCGAATAAAAAGTGCATGAAATATGTTTACTGTTATGTGTTGGCGTTTATGTACGCATTGTTGTTGCTGTTACCAGTGCAGAAGGTCAATAAAAGGTCATTGAGAAGGTTATATCAGTGGCCACAGCTTGTGTGTGTGCGTGGGTTAGCATTTGCTCATGCGTGTACATGCGCCCGAATGTGTGGGCACTTCAAACATGTGGGCATGTGGCATGTGGCATGTGTGTGTGTGTGTGTGTGTGTGTGTGTATCTATATCTATGTGTGGCCTAAGCAAATGTCCGACCAGACTGCAAGTCAATAGGTAACCCAAATATGTAGTTGCCTTTTTGCCAAATGCCAAAAAGTTAACGGGTTAGAATGAAGTGTTAAAAACGTAGCAAAAATCGAACAGCCAATTCAATTTTATTTGCCATGGTTTAGACAGAGAGATGGCAGTTATGTGTGTAAACTAAAGACAGAATCAGTTTTATTTTGTATACCCTGAAGCCATTGAAAGTGGACAAAGGGGTATGATGGTTAAGTGAAAATGTATTTAACAGGCAGAATGAAGCTTCTCTCTCCCCATAAAGTATATATATATATATATAGTGACATATCCATAGTCGCACCCACCCTTTAACATAACTTAGCACATAAGCATAAGCACAATTATAAACATTTCTAATATTGTAAACAAAGAGCCTGGTGATAACATCGACATTGGTCAAGATCAAACTGTCCCCCTTTGGTAGACATAAACAATTCACCCTAAATATCACGCCACTGTCAATGTTCCCATCAGAGTACTATCCCACGCATAATTGCTGACGCAGCTCAAACTTCACTCAATTTTGACTCAAACTCTCTCAAAGCGAAGTTTGCTAAGCGACCGCAACAGTTAGATAAATCAGTTCATATTCGGGAAGCAAATCTGAATGTACTCAACAAAAGTAGCCGTTAAGTGAAAATAATAAATTGAAATATATTTTTTTATAGTAACCTAACGTGCAAAACTTAATTGGCGCAGCCGGTAGGATACGTCGGGAAAAATTAAAGATCGCTAAAGGATAATTAATTCCCAGATCTAACGCACAATCGCGACCGAAAGTGTTGTCGGAGTGTAATAAAAATTTTCTCGAATACGTATCCGCACAAGAACCTTCGGGTCACTAGTAGCTTAATAATATTGACCCTTTGGGCAATAAAGCTACTACAGTTAATAACGACTGGCTTTGCATATCGTTTGATCCCTGCAATACGTTATTACTGAGTCTTTTTAAGACACACACACAAAAAAAAAAAAACATTTAACCAATAATCCATCACAAACTTTAACCTAAAATAAAAGTGCAAAATCAAAGAACAATAAAGTTCAAACCTACAAACTCAAAACTATTCAAAAAAAAGTGTATTACACCAAGATGACAATGGAATTATCAGAACAACACCTCAACCAGGCCCTTTCACAACTTAGACAGGTGCCAAGCTTTGACGGATCAACGGATCAACTAAACGCCTTCATTAAAAGGATAGATTACATCCTACACCTGTATCCAACCCGAGATGTTAGACAACATAGCATCTTATACGGAGCCATCGAATTGCAAGTCACAGGAGATGCTCAGAGAATATCACAAAGGACAGCAGCCAACACTTGGCAGGAGCTGAGAAACGCATTAATTGAAGAATACAAAGTGCAGACACCATTTGAAGAACTCCTTCGACGCTTATACAACACGAATTACCAAGGAAACGTCCGTAAGTTCATCGAGGAGCTCGAGAATAAATCTTTTGTTATATTAAATAAGTTAGCACTAGAAAATATACCTAGCAATACAACCCTTTATACAAATGCTATGAATAACACAATCAAAGATGTTATTACAAAAAAATTACCAGATAGGCTTTTCATGATGTTAGCCAGACACGACATTACGTCGACACAAAAACTAAAGCAAGTAGCTCAAAGAGAGGGATTATATGAAAATAGCGTTACTGAAAAACCTAAAAATAATAATGTTCAGGGAAATCCAAATAACAATCGTAGGAACATGGGAAATTATCAGCAAAATGCTAACCCAACCACCATTTCAAGTGGCTATTCCAACACGAATCAGAGTTATCACGCACAAAATAAACAGCATAATAAGTCCGAAGACAATCAGAAAGCTCACCACGAGTTCCAACAGAAATTAAGTCAAGGTAGATACCAAAATCCCTTAAACTACCAAAATCAGTCCCATTCACGCTTGAATGCACCAAACCCTCCGACTAAACGTCAAAGAGATAGTAACAGTGGGCAGATGAAAATGGATACATCCGAAAATTTTCATCAGCAAGCCTCGGAACAAACAGAAGAAATCCATTCATAAAATTGATTATGAATGACGAAGTTCTAAAATGTGTCATCGACACAGGTTCAACCATTAATCTAATGAAAACTAACCGCTTAAATTTTCCAGTTTACAACGAAACATTAAAGGTTCACACCATAAATGGTGTTATTGAATTAAAACAAAGTATACGATTAGGAGCAAGCAAAATTTGTCCGAGCAAACAAAAATTCTATATTCACGACTTCTCAGAGCATTATGATGTTCTGATTGGGAGAGAATACCTTGAGGCATGTCAAGCAAAAATAGACTATGCACAAGGATCCGTAACCTTAGGAGAATTTAACTTTTGTTTTAGATATAACGACGAAGAGGTCGAAGAGGACATGACCGCACAAGAGTGCCTTGATCCACCCTCAACAGAGGACAGACCATTTAACTTCGCTATTAATAATGAATTAATAGAAAACAATGAGTTTAGGCTAGAGCACCTAAACTCAGAAGAAAAAGAAAAAATAAAAAAAGTTTTACATGAATTTCGTGATATCCAGTACCATGAAGGTGACAATTTGACTTTCACTAGTACAATTAAACACAAAATTCTAACAAAACATGAGGACCCAATTTACAAGCGTCCATACAAATATCCTCAAATATACGATGAGGAAGTAAATAAACAAATAAGCGATATGATAAAACAAAATATCATACGTAAATCCAAATCCCCTTACTGCTCACCAGTAATAATCGTTCCAAAGAAAAACGATGCATCTGGAAAGCAAAAGTTCCGGTTAGTCATAGATTACCGCAATCTCAATGAACTAACTATTAATGATAAATACCCTATCCCGATCATGGATGAAATATTA